GGTTTGGCTCAGTGGATAGAGCGTTGTCCTGCGGACTGAAAGGTCCCGGGTTCGATTCCGGTTAAGGGCATGTACCTTGGTTGCGGGCACATCCCTAGTAGGGGGTGTACAAGAGGCAGCTGATCGATGATTCTCTCTCATTGATGTTTCTAACTCTCTATCCCTCTCTCTTACTCTCTGTGAAAAATTAATAAGATATATTTATTTTAAAAAGTGTTAAAATCTACCCGGCCAGTGTTGCTTAGTTGTTGAGTGTTGACCTATGGTTCAATTCCTTGGTCAGGGTATATGCCTGGGTTGTGGGCTCAATCTCCAGTGTGGGGCATACAAGAGGTAGCAGATCAATGACTTTTCCTCATCATTGATGTTTTAAAATATTTTAAAAAGTGTTAAAATCTGAGATTATACAATATCTGAATAAGAGTACAAGGTTTGTTGGAGTTACGTGTTTAAAGCTATATATACCATGCGTTATCGGTTCTATTGTGACTCCAAAAAGATATGTTAAAATCCTAACCCCCTGTACCTTAAAATGTGACCTTATTTGGAAATAGGGTTACTGCAAATGTAACTAGTTAAGATGAAGACATACTGGAGTAGGGTGGGCTCTTAACCCAATGTGATTGGCATCACAGAGGGAGTGCACCATGGAGCACAGAGGCAGAGACAGGAGTGATGTGTCTACAAGTTAAGGAATGCCAGGGATTTCTGACACCCCCAGAAACAAACAAAAAGGCTTGGAACAGATTCTCCCTATGAACCCCCAACAAGGAACCAATCCAGCTGACACCTTCATTTTGGACTTCTGTTTCCTGAACTGTGAGAGAATACATTTCTGTTCTAAGCCTCCCAGTTTATGGTACTTTGTTATAGCAGCCTCAGGAAACGAGTACACATTAATTTTCTATATCAATTTTTCTTTTTCAGCCTTGGCACATTTCTTCCACTCTTAAGCCTTGGAAAACCAATGGAAAGGAAAGAGTAAAGTAAAATGGAGATGGTTAAACCCAACCCCTGGGATACGATTTACTTCTTGTCTAGACTTTCTCTACAAAGAGAGAGAATTCTGAGTAGAGGTCGTTTACCGTGAAAGAGGATCATAGCCACAAGACGTTCATCAACATTAAACAGCCACGTATCATTTTTTTAAAGTGATGTAGTCCTATGTGGTTGTACAAAGACTTTTGCCCTTTCCACCCACTTTATAGAACTTCTAGGTTCTCCAAATCATTTATTTTAGAAAGCATTGTGCTATCCCATGCTATATCTGTGTTTTTGTTTTTGTTTTTTGTTTTTTGTTTGGGGGGAGGAATATTCAGTATACACTAAGAAGCTTAACTTGTCAGAGATACTATTTTCTCTCTCATCCCTCTCATCCAAATTCCTAGGGGTCAGTAGGATGGAATGCTGCTCTTTGGGTCAAAATCTGCTGGAGGGTTCCCATTGGAGGTAAGAGAGTCCATAAAAGTCCAAGTGTTCTACTAATGCTATTATTTATACCAATTTAATGAATATCCTTGTATACACATTCTAATAAACATTATCTGATTAATTCCTTAGGATAAATTCCTAAAGGTGGAGTTATTGGGTCAAAATATATTATTAATAAGATTAAAGTTTTAAATTCATATTATCAAATTGCTCCCCAAAGGTTGAGTTATTTTGCATTCCTATCAGCATATATAAAATGACCATTTGACAAAACAACACATTTATTAATATTGGATCTCATTATTTTACACCTTTGCCCATTTAATGAATAAAGGTGGTATCTCATTATTTAAACCTGCCCTTTTTCTTTTCTTTTTAAAAAAAATATATTTTATTGATTTTTTATAGAGAGGAAGGAAGAGGAAAAGAGAGTTAGAAACATAGATGAGAGAGAAACATCGATCAGCTGCCTCCTGCATACTCCCTACTGGGGATGTGCCTGCAACCAAGGTACATGCCCTTGACCGGAATCGAACCTGGGACCCTTGAGTCTGCAAGCCGACACTCTATCCACTGAGCCAAACCAGTTAGGGCCTGCCCTTTTCCTTATAATCAGTAAAGCTGAATATTAAAAAAAAAAAAATTTTTTTTTTTAGAGAGATGAAGGGAGAGGAAGAAAGAGATAGAAACATCATCTTAGGGGAACCAAGATGGTGGCCTAGGTTAATGCCTGTACTCACTGCCTCCCACAACTACATCAAAATTACAACTAAAATACAGAACCACCAACATCCAGAACCGCTAGAAAGCTGGCTGAATGGAAGTCCTATAACTAGAGAATTAAAGAAGAAAGCACACTGAGACTTGTAGGAGGTGTGGAGAGCAGAAGGGACTTTTGTTCCTTTAGGTATATGGCCTTCCTGCTTTCATAGTGCTTCTGGCATTTCTCTCTCTTAGCATTTTTGAGCATTTACTAGTTTGTGTCTTCCAAAAGACGATAAATGTGGTGACAGCCTCCTCTATCCCCATAATTCAGGGTCCTACACAGGGTCTGACACATCAGAGGCCATTACGTTTTTGCCAGTAAAATACACAGACAAATGAACATTTCCTTGTTTTATCAGGAAAAAGTTAATATACCGCCATCAAAGTTTTAAATAAGGAATAAACAAAATAGCAGAGGAGATAAATAATAATTCAAAGAGTAGTATTACTTAGCCGAGACCGCTTTGGCTCAATGGATAGAGCGTCGGCTTGGGGACTGAAGGGTCCCAGGTTCGATTCCGGTCAAGGGCATGTACCTTGATTGCGGGCATATCCCCAGTAGGGGGTGTGCAAGAGGCAGCTGATCGATGACTCTCTCTCATCAATGTTTCTAACTCTCTATTTCTCTCCCTTCTTCTCTGTACAAAATCAATAAAATATTTTTTTTAAAAAAAAGAGTAGTATTACTTAGAGTATTTAGTACTTGCTTTTCTGCCCTGAACCTTAATTTCCACATTTTTAGGTCTCACATAATAATACCAAGTGAACATCTTCAGAAGATAAACTAGGGTAGAAAGAAACTTGCTTATAAATGTTTCAATATATCAGTTGTTGGTACAAAACTCCATGAGACCTAAGAACATCTTCTTTTTAAATATAGAAATATTAAAAGTTAATAAATAATGTAATGTAATTCATTTTTAGAGGAATAATGCAAAGTCGTTCCTTTTTACATGGAACCCTTGATTTGAGGAAACTGAGAGGCAACTGCAGAGGTAGATTTTAGAAAAGATGGAAGCTTAAGAACATTAGATAAACTTCAAAGTTATACACCTTAAGTATATACAATTTTTATTTGTCAATTATACCTCAGTAAAGTTGGGGTGGGGGGAGGGGGGAGAAGGACCTAAAATTGTTTTGTGTGGGAGTCAAAACTGCCCAAGCTTACCTTGCAATAAAGAATCCAGAATAGTCCTGTCAGAGTGGCTCAGTGGTTGAGCTTCTATCTATGAACCAGAAGATCACAGTGCAATTCCTGGTCAGAGCCTGGGCTGCAGGCTCAATCCCCAGTGTGGGGAGGCAGCCAACCAGTGATTCTCTCTCATCATTGATATTTCTGTCTTTCTCTTCCTTCCTCTCTGAAATCAATAAAAATATATTTAAAACAAAACAACAACAAAAAGAATCCAAAATAAAGTTTGGTCTATAAGATTCCAAGTCGGTAACAAAGTTACCTGGTCAAATATCGATATGTAGGTAAATACCCCTAAATCATCTGTCCTAAATAATCTAGATAATTCATTAATATAATCATTCTTTATTTTCCAATTCAGTTTGTGAAGAAAAATAAGGATAAAATGGGAAATACAGAGACAGACCATTGTCTCTGGGGAGCCCAGAGGAAAGGCAATGTGGATGCTAAAGTAGGAAATGTCGCTGAGTGGAAGTAAGCTGGGGGGCCCTCTGTGGACCCTGCCCTGGAACTGAGGTGGCCCATCCTCTCTACTGGGACAGAAGGGACAGCAACTCAGATGTGTGAGCTTGGACCCCTCACTGGCTTCACCACCTGCATTTAAGAGGACAGGAATATGGCTGTCTATTGAAATCTCATCCCTTCTTTGAATTTCAAATTCTGTCTTCTTCAGAAAACCTTCAGCCTATAAGCTTTACAGTCAATTTGCAGTAATGTAATACCTTATTAAATTGCATCCGTACATTATCACCTCACTAGCTTATATATGTCTTCAGGGCAGAAATCATGCTTTAGGCTTTTAAAAAATGTCCACAATGCCCAGGGTAGGGTTGAGGATGTAACAAGTGTGCAACAAGTAAGTGTCTGGTGGTAAAGTTGAAAGGAAGAAACCAAGTGGGTAACAAAGTTACCTGGTCAAATATTTAGGTGAATAGCCCTAGATGGTTGGGTCCCATTCCCATATCCTCACATCAGAAGGCTAAGGTGCACTAGTACCTTTTCCTCTGAAGAGGGCTATCCTAAATACAAATGATGTCTCAAAGTCCTACAAAGGACAACCGGGAAAGCACAGTTCCTAGTAAATCCCCTTGGGGACCAGGCTCTCCTCTCTGTGCCTGAGTCTGCACGGGAGTGTGCGTGGTGGGGGAGGTTGAGGTGGGGTGGGAGGGCACTGGCAAGAGGAAAGAGACTCCACGCAGTGATTATGTGGAGGGGATTTGCTATGTCTCTTTCCTCCCCTCACCCCTCTTTCTTTGTGCTTTTTCTCCGTGTTCCTCTCTTTGTCCCCTTTTCCTCGTCCCCTTCTTCTGCATTTGTCTGGGAGGATCCTGGAGTGTTCCTTTGATCGACTCAATCTTTCTCTGGCACTTGAGTTCTGATTGGCTGAAGGACTTAGGGGGGGGGGGGACTTTAATTAAGTAGATAATCTCTTCTTTGGAGGTTTGGCAGCTCCATTTCACCTCCCCTTAACTCTGTTTGGGATCGCTTACACACCAAGGAAGTTGAGGTTCGAGGAGAATTCCATCCCACTACCAGGAGGAGAATACTTCCCATCTTAGCACTCCGCTTCCTCAGTGTTTAGAATTTTTTATCTCTGTCACTCCAGAGGATTATGTTACGTATGAAGCCTTCTGTGCGCATCTTTCTTTTCACCTGTGTCCTCCAACTCAGCCATACCTGGTAAGTAACCTGGAACTTGGGATTAGGTAAATGCATGTCATATATGGGAGAGAGCTCATTTTCATTTCCAGGAATGTAGGACGCTTTGGGATCTCTCCTAGGAAAAAGTATTCCAGGGAGCGGGGTTCTTCCAAATCTGTGATTTCAGTAAATCCTTAGACCCCTACCAATAAAAGAATTAAGAGATGGGGGTTCCTATTTTCCTAAATTGCTGTACCACAAATATTCTACATGTTTTTTGGGGAAAGACAGTAGCACCCCCCACCCCTTTTTAAAATCAAATCCCGATTTCTGCATTGTGGAGAAGAGGAAGGTGGTTCAAAGCAAGGTCTACTGTATGCAGAATCGGATCTTTGAGGTGAAGACAGAAATTCAATGGGATCTTATTTTGCACTGTCTGACTTGAATGTTTTCTCCCGAAAACATTCTAAGTAATAGCTCATCACTTCCTAGAGATTAAAAATTAACTACCGAGTTGGTACTGGGTTAACCAACATGTTTGACATTAAATATTTTGGGAATCTAAACTTTTCTACAAGTTTGTTTAATTGATTCCATTTACAAATATTTCTAACTTGCTCAGAAAATAAGATAGCTTGTGTAATAGCGCTTTGTAAACTATAAACCACCACACAAATGATAGATGATATGATCATCATTTGCACTTAGCTCTTGGGAAATACGTCAAGTATCTATACATGGAAAAGTTAATAAGCAAGCACAAAATAACATGCAGACTGTAAGATCTAGGAAATGCATGTTGCTAGGGTGTTTGGAGTTCCTCCTCAATTAAGATGTGAGCTCAGTCTCTGTTCATCAGTTCTCATTTCAACCATCTATTTAACTAAGTTACAAATCCAATTGCTACATAAACTGTCGAGGAAGCAAGAATAGGGGTTTCTTTGCTGAAATCAGCTTCCCGTGCTAATTGAGAGTGTATTCTTATCATAAATGAGTATAGCCATCACTATTAAAGAGCTGATCACAAGTATGCCAAAGTAATACAATTTGCCGGTTAATGCAATAATTTGCAACATTCCTGATTATAAACTGAACCGCCAAGTAATTGGTCCATTTTTAATTGGTATTTTAATTAAATATTTCATGTCCAAAAAAAAAAAATCTTCCTTCTCTCCCTGTCATGAGAACAAAAAGACAAAAGGGAGAGGAGACTAGTTCAGAGGATTTCTACTGATGTCCATGGTATTCTTCAGCTGATTCAGTATCAGCAAAAGAGAAACACGAGATTCCTTCCCCCAGTCACCAGGGCAGTGTGAAGAATTGTTCTATAAGAAATACCTTTCCTGTGTGTTCCTTCCCTGCTGGAGGGGGTCATGTTCACTTCATTCCGATATTGACACTGCCACACTGAAAGGTGGCTGGGTTGCTTGTCTGTCCAAATTCAAGAGTCTGGATTCAAAAAGAAAGAAGAAAAAAAGAGACGTGAAAGAAAATTCTTATTTAAAAACAGGGTTTAAGAACCTCTTCTCACTTTCCTTGACTTTGAGGAGAAAATATACAAATCTGGATCATGCAAGTCATTTTTTTTTAATTGCATCCCAGAAGCCTCATTTTGAATATTTATACTTTGTTGAGTCTGGTTTTGGTAGCATTTGAAATGTGATTTTTTAAATTTAACATCCAACCTCAATTATTCTTATAATGGGACTATCAGGGTTTTGTATAAGGTCATCTTTCCCTTTGTGCCATGCAGAGAAATTTGACCAACCGCAGCCTTTCAGATGTTTCTCTTAGTACTTCATTATCAACCTTTTATGTGGGGACCTCAAAAGCATTTAACAAATAGAGAATCACCATTTCTGCTTGGCTGTTCAATTGTAGGCTGGCCTGAAATTACTGCCTAAAAGAGTTTATCAACAGAAATTCCTGGGCTTGAAAGGGAAAGGATAAAAATGACATGTGCCTACAATGTGCAGTTTTACTAGGTGTCTCAGTGCAACATAATTGGGGGAAAGAGCATTCGCCATAGTTTTCTCTTGTCTGGACCTTTTGGAAAGAATTATCCTTTAGTGAGTTAAGAAAAAATATTTTTTAATTTCTTTTTTCTTAATTATTAATGGCTTAAAAAATGAAAGAAGTAAAGAAACAAGGAAAGAAAGAAAGAAATTAGTAAGGGAAAGCATAACACAGCCAAGCAAACTGTGATGCTTATAATGGTGGCCAGAGATGAATTAATGTTACTGTTCACTTCCAATACATTTATTCATTGGAATAAATTGACCTAGAACATGTTTTTCCTTAACTGTTGACTTCATTTGACTCCAAATGATGTCTCATAATGATCCTGGGTCTTTCCAGTTCATTCTCTCTCTCTCTCTCTCTCTCTCTCTCTCTCTCTCTCTCTCTCTCTCTCTCTCTCCCTCCTCAACGCAATAACCAAATCAGAAAGATGCACTGGGACACAAAGGTTAACTATGTCTCTGGTCAAATTTTTCAACAGAGATCACTACCCTTAGCTTTTTCCAAAGGATTTAATCAGTTTCTTTTCTGCAGAAGAGCAAGATTCCCTGAAATCTTATGTTTTAAAGCACTTTTTGAAATACATCATCCCTTGTTTCTCTACATTTATGTTTTTAGAGTAACCTGTCTATGGCTCTTGAAATTTCAACTGATGACAACATGCAAAACTCCTGATTAGCAAAGTCTTCAGTTATTAAGTGTGGTGGTGGTGGGGGGGGGGGGCGGGTATCTTTGAATCCATATTTTCATGAAGCATCATCATTAGCTTTTATCTGCATTTTATGTGCAACACTTTTTCAAATATCTATTATGACCAGTAAAATACACAGCTCATTTAAAATCATTGAATTCATGGTAATGCGTTGTCCTATTGCATTTTTGTCGAATTTCCCCTCTAACAGATACAAAAAGAACACGGACAATCAAGTGAGAATCCACTAAGCTTTGCCACACTAGAAAGGAAAGTTAGGGGAATACAGTCAGGTGTGAGAAACTGCTTTGGAATATGGAAAATAATATGCCAATAGAAGATTCACATACCTAATAGCTTCCCTAATCAATAAAGAGAAGTTCATAGTCCACTACAAAAGGCAGGGATCGTGGGGGTAATGCTGAGCAGGGTTAGGCTGGTAGCTGTGGCGGAGGAGGTTCTAAGGGCTTGAGACGTGATCAGGGAAGCCCAGTTCCCAGTTTTGTCATTGATTTCCTCAACAGCTTGAGACCTGAGTTTTTCCTTTCCGAGTTTCTATTTCTCCTGCTATAAATAATAATAATAACAAACTATTATAATTGTTATTATTACTATTTATAAAGGCTATATGGTCCTGAGAGGAGACACTTTGTTAAAGCTTTTCTTATGAAACCAGTTTGCATAAGTGATAAGGAGGATGCTCTACAGTGCATCTTTATTTATTATTATTATTATTATTATTATTTGTGTGTGTGTGTGTGTGTGTGTGTGTGTGATAATATGATACAAAGAAGGATCTCCTTTTTGTGACATTATATAGAGGTAAATGGAATATACATAATCAGAGGAAAAGGAATTCCAAACCAACCCCCTCTCTTCCATGAAGGAGTTTACTCCCCCCTCCTCTCCTTCCCCCCACTTTTACCAGCTGGGACAGTTGGTTTAGTGCTGCACTGTATTGGGTAATGCTAGTCTCTCTTGGAACTGTTAATAAAATCCCCTTTTTCCTGGGCTCCATTTATCCTTTCTATTTCTATTAGAGGGAGAGGAGAATTCAGAGGGCTTAGAAAGAGAGGTCAGTACAATTTTATTTAGGGTAAACTCTCTTTTATTTCCCCAGAAAGCAGATTGTTCTTCCCGGGTAAAAGATTAGACTGGGTTAACAGTTGGGGGAAACTTTGAGCTTGGTTCCGGAAATAACAGTCCCCCCAACCTCCCTTGCCTCCCATCTGAAATGTACCTACACTCCGAGAGTCTCTTAAAAAAAACAACAAACTACCATCCACTCTGGGCAGACTCTCTTGTCTCATTATAAGCCAAATTTGTATGGTTTGCTTTTCTCAATCTTTATTATAGGTCCTTGTTATTGATCATATCATCTCTCTATATCCTTCTTAGGTCAGAGATTTCTCCAGACCAAGAGAAATCAGACCATATGGGATTATTTAAATTCACTGTTATTTTCCAGTCCAAATTCACTTTTCTTAATGGGTTGTTTTCCCAATGTCAGCATGCCCCGGCAGCAGCACAGACTGAGGCTGTGCTTCAGTAGTCTCAGGAGACCCTGTAAATAGGCCAATAGTTCAGTATTTCTATGCAGCTCCATAGATTAAATTCTTGTGTTTTTCAGGCCAAGCTTAAACCATCCTGTATAAGGACGAATTTCTCCTTCATTCAAGACTGTACTTCTGTAATTCTCCCATATATGCAACTAGATAGAGATAGCAGTTATATTTTTAAATAAATATTTTAATTAAAAACTGTAACTCTCTTTTGCTACTCTCCTTTTCATTTACTCAGGCTTTTCAAGGTCACCATATCAGACTCTGAAGTTTCCATTCCAGACCAATATCCAGGATAATAAATAGTAAATCAATAGATGGGCCATATTATACTGTCTGGCATTTCTTCATATTAATCCAAGGAGTCTGGTGAAGCTCATATTGCATAGATTATTGCTTCAGGAGTATTCTGTTGTTTAAATTTATATTATTGAAATTTTCTTTAAAAAAACAAACAAACTTAGAACAGTATCTATAACAACCCCCAACAAGTCAGCTTCAACAGTTATCAACCCTTGGCTAACCTTGCTTCATGTATACTTTCTGTAGCATTTTCAACTTCATGTATTCTCTTAGTGTAAATCTTCCAAATACTGTTGTGGCTCAAAATAGTAAGAAGAGGGACAGGAAAAGGATCCCCCTTTCCCATGTTCAAGAGATCTAGTGCCAGTAATTAGAGACCTTGGGGAACATCATACAGATATGACCCCCAGTGGGGTGAAAAATCAAGAACACAAGTTAGTAACAGGAGAATCTGAGCTTGTTTC